CGAACGATTCACGCACTTTACTAGCGCTTGCCTCAATTGTCCGTCTCTATCTCTTCAATCTGCAATTATTCATATCTATGCCGTCACTTCTCGCCAGTCTAATATATACGAAATAGAGGGTGTCTAAAGAACACTCGAGGCTTCACGAATGGACATGATCTTTCTAGAATCTCATGACGTGTTACTAGCGTCACGTGACTTCCGCTGTCGTAACAATATGTTTTCTTGAAATACTAAAAATAGGATAGTCATTATCTGTACATATATCACTACAGGATAATAATTAATTTTTACAAAACACGTTCATAAAACATTTATTTAGATGTAACTTTCAGAACAAAATTAATTTTATCATATAACAGGCATTCAGCTTGTGTTAACATAACGAAAGGTAAAAAAAATGAAAGAAACAATGATGCAATAACAAAACATGACAAAATAATAACTACAACAGATTTAGTGGAAAAGGGCAAATTGCATTGTTTAACTGAGAATGTTATTTGATTTCTGTAGTGAATATCGGTGTATAGAAGACATTTTAATACTAAAAATAAACGACCTTATAACACCAATAAACAGCTACGGTTTGTGTTTCAGTGGAACGTTCCTGAAGGAGCTGAAAAGCGAATCGGTGAGTGTCCAGTTACAGAAAAACAACATCTCAGTATTAACTGAGAATGTTGTTGTTGAATAGCGAAAGATAATTTTATTGTTTAGTAGCTCTTGATTAGAGCAACCAATTGTCAGAATATTAAAGTCATCATCTGAAAAAGGGTGAATAGTTGCATCACAATTTGAGCGAATAGCAGCGAAACGGGGATTAGAGAGATTTTCTTTTCCGAATTTAAGAGAGACAACCTTTTGTTAATCGGTTCTTACTTTTAAGTGGAGAGTTGTTCTGCCAATATAGATATTATGGCAGCTATCATAGTATAACAATAAATAATCCATGAACGCAATTGTTTAAGTATCCAGTCTTTAAAGTGGAAGAAATTGTTAAGTCGATAGAAACATCTAAATACAAGTCTTAGCTGGATCTGGAGTTAAAAGGATTTGATCTGGTTAGTTATTTGTTTTTTTTTAAGCAATGCTCTGCTTGCCTAGAAAAGATTGATGGGACAATCAGGGAACGTTTCTCATACTTTCCATTACGAAATTGGCATATTTTTTGCAGCAGGATTTCTGTGTAATCATTTTTTAGAACATTTTGAAGGAAGTTAATTTCAGGTGCAAAGGTTGATAGTTAAAATATATTTTGCAGGCTCTTTCCACCTTGCAATAAACAAGATTCAGTTTGTAGCTGTAAGGAATGAAATTGCTAAAAGGTGTGTGTATGGAAGAATAAAGTTGTTAAATGGTTAGAATTACATGTTACAAGGACGCCTAAAAATTATAAAGTCTGTTTCACAGGTAAATTTAATGTTGGGGTAGCAGGAGTTAAGATAACCTAAAAGAAAATTGAAGCATGGTCTTTTGAAGGAAAGGGTACAAAAGTATGTATTATCTACAAATCGTTCATACAATATAGGTCTGAACTCGATGGACAGTTTTCCAGCCACCTACATTCAAAGTGATAAAAAAAAAGTGTTAGCTATAGTTAGGTCAAGTGGTGACCCCACAGCGACATTGTCAATCTGTTCAAACAGATTTTTGTTAAAGAGGAAGTGCGTTTGTGTGAAGTAAAGTTCGAGAAGACGTTATCACGATTTAAATTTTTAAACCATTCATGAGGTTGGACATCTGGGAACTTTGCTCTCCCACAATGCAATGTCTGCAGAGCAACCAAGATGAATGGGCAAACAAACAGCGCGACGAAGGGGAAATTTCGTTCATTCTGTACACTTGCCCGTTGTCTAGAGTAGTATTCCTAACAATTATTTGTGTTTGTGACGAACTTATGTTGTTTCAAACCTGCAAATATGGTGAAGAGTTGTTGTGTATTCAACTGCACCAATAACAATTTGAAACCTGAACTTTCCTTCTATTTTATACCTAGTCCTCCAGCTCGCCTTATAGTAAGCATAAAGCAAACATTTGTGGGATTTTATTCCCAGCCTAGAATAGTCTTAAGACAATTTGTCCATAATCGTTTTAAAACTAATTCCACCTGGTAACTTACTTTTTAATGCATGCTTTCCCACAAAAACAAGCTACTGAAAAGAAGTGTTGTGGCTGAAAGTTATCAACCACGGAACACAGGAAGCAATAGGAAACTGTAGGAGCCAAATTCTGACTATAACTATTTGTCTTCAGCTTATTTTATATCATGTAAATGTTGTCTTCCGATATTTTTTTACACAAGATAACGTACACGTCTGGGTACTGCACACTGGGCCATTCTGTTGGGTCATTGATTCACGAGTCAGCAGAGATAAGAATCAAGCCCAATTGTAACTCAATTCAATATCTCACTAATGCCTAGGTCAACAACTTTGCAAAAGACATTGCAATTGACTATCAAACAATAATAATGAAAGATAGGTGAAGAATCTGCACAGCAGTAACATGTGTAGCCCTATATAAATTGTGTATGCCCAGCTGTACTTGCTTTGCTATTGTTTGCCCATTTTTCAAGATGGAGATCACATTACCAGGCAAATTCACATAGCTGTGACGTCATGCCGACCTCAAGGAATAACGTATACAGTATTGTCTTTAAAATGATTGGAGAGACAAATGTCAGTAGTTACTTTTTTAGATTTTTTGGAGTGGTAGGAGATAGGACGTGTTCTCTTTAGGAGATTATTTCAGGAATAGGTAAGTATTTAAGTATTTCAAGGTATGTGAAGTAGAACGTAGAGTATTTGAGTTAATTTTAAACACCAAACTCTTTCTCAAGACTTAGGCATTCGACATGTGAACAGCCCTTATCAGAGCTAAGATCTTAATCATGAGAACAAGAGCTGGCAATCTGCCACTTTCGATGTCTTCCCAATTTGAGCTTCTCGCAACCAATGCCGAGGACATGAGGGACCCTGACTCTGTGGCCTCA